ATAGAATATGATTGTTCATTAATATCGATATCGCATCGACGTTCCGTGTAATTATTATTATCTATTCTATATCGATGTCACGAAAAGGTTGTGTTTAAATACCTCATTTAATTGAGAAATTAACATTGATGGTTATTCCATTCTTAAATGTAATTTTCTTATATAAAAGAACTCTTTGGCATCTTTAACAAATGTTAAATTTATGCATAGTTTCATTTATTGAATGTTAAAAAAATATAGCTCCGACGAATATACTAGAATATACTTGATATACGTGCATATAGTAGTATGTCTAATCTAGACATGTCCGTTTTATAAATACCCCCCACAATCCTTTATCTATTTATATTTAATATATGTTATTCATATATGTAAATATTCTTTAACACATCTGCTGAAGTTTAATTTCGATTCAGAGTATTTAACTGTCTTCGTGGACTGTCACCTTCTGGATTCTTTATTCTTATAGTAGACTGTTAGAAACACCTGTGACTTTGTTAATACTGTTCGTACTCTGCGTTACGGAGTAATATAAATAATAATGACACTACCTATAATAACATTTACTTTTTACTATTACGTAAAATAACAAACAATGGTTGTTAAATAGTCCAATTGGTTATAATTGTAGCTTAAAAGCTAAGATAGGCTCTACAGAGAAAATATCAAAACAAGGACAGTCCGAAAGAATGTGAAGGCCGGGATCACCTTATTCTAGAACAAGTCATATTAGAGAGTTAAGTTTAGTTGTATAATTGTGTTTAATTAAATACTAGCGTTTCCGGCTTGCGTTGCTGCCCCACTGAATTATAGTGCTTTTTAATCTTTCCGACGTCACATCTTTCCCAAAACGTCCTTGGCTTTTTATGGCTGCAATTAGGTCCTTGATTGAGTACCCACTGTCGTCCACCTTCGTCGTCTGTACAAATGATGTCCTTCGACCCCTGTTGGTGTTTCTTCGATCAGATGTCCTTTCGCGAATTTGCCGAAGCCTCGACTTTCGTTCTTGTTTCGTTTTGATGGCTCGGGCATTTGTCAAAGCCACAACTCCCATTCTTGCTCCATTTCTAGACTCTTTTATTGAAATAAATGCACCTTTATATTTGATCCCATTCATTAAGGGGTACAATTTTTTTTTGTGTAGATCAACCTGGCTCAGTGATCGATTCAGACGAAATGAAATGAAATAGTTTTCTATATAGTGTAGTAACCATAACAACGAAGTGTGAAAACAAGGGAATACTTAACGCAAATCATTCGACTGTACATTATGCAATGTTACTACGAAAGTAGGAAATCAATTCAAGATATGGAAAAAAATGGTAGCATAACACGAAGGCTTTTTATGGCTTTAATAAACATTTTTTTGGAATATTATCGAGGCAGCATTTTACCTATTTGTAAACTATTCAAAGACCTAATTTGTTTAATGGTTGTTTTTATTAAAAGAACCAGCTGCCATTGCCAATAAATACTCAGAAATAAATATTACCTAGACTGCAAAAGATTACAACTAATTCAAAATGTCACAAGTCACTAAATTAGCACCTGAATTTAGTTTTTGATTTTGAATTTCTGTTCCAATAATAAGTAAATAGCATCTGTACACAAAAATTTGTCATAATTGCTTCTAATAATATGAAAATATGTAAAAATAGATTGTATTTTGACATGAATTTATTTCATTTACTACGATAACATTATTTTTTTTCATTTTCGCAAAATTCAATCAATCTTATTTATATAACGGCAGTATCAAATATACTTACCAGAAGCAAGCTAAAACTATGGAGTCTCAATACAAAATTGCTGCATGCTGTCGTTCCGAGTTATCAAAATTCCGTGGAAGTTCGTTAATGTCCATTTTAATCTATCTCCGGACACATGGCCGTGACTAATTTAAGTTTGGGAATTTGTCGAGTGCATTTTGCGATAATGGACTAATGAAGAATGGTACAATAATTAATATAAATAAATAGATAACGGTGTTATTAAAGTGATTTTTCTAGCTTTTAAAATAATAAAATCAATCATGAATTTCCCAAATGTATTTTACAACTGAATGACGCACAATTTGTTTGGCAAAGACTATAAATAACTTCCTAAGTTGTGGGCAATAACCCAAAATGGTATGTTAAACAAATAGCTTCCATCAATGGTGATTGTCAAAAATTGTGTGTAATTTTATATCATTACTCATACGCCGCGTGTGAAAACTGCAACACAAACCAAACAAAGCCCACCATGTATTATAATTAATATACAATTAAAATGACATTTTTGTTGGGCGCATCAACTATATTTTTGCACATGTACATATGTACATGCATGCATATATTCATATGGATATCAGCGACATGTGGCGGTGTCAGGGCTCATTTAGCAGCTGAGCAAAAAGTGTTTAAATATGCGTGGTATACCTAGCTTTTGTTTCATGTCAACTTGTCTCATGTCAGCATGTATAGTACAGTAATGAAAAACTAATTGTACGATTTTAATGACACACTCAAACATATACCATTTGTGGATGTGTAGCACAACGAAATCAAATTGACGAACACCCAATTTCAAAAGCAATTTGTGACACGTGCTCTTGACTTGCGACCGAATTATTTTAAAGTTTTCAACAGTTTTCGACCTGTCACTTTGTGGGCAATTTTATTTGCGCTTATCTCGGAGCTACGACACTGTCTGTACCTGTACTTTTCACAAAACCAAAGCCAACAGCCTAATGAAATTTTTAACTTATTCGAGAGTTCTTCTCCTGGCTCTAATTAAGAGTGACAACAGGGAGCTTGTTTTTTTTTTTTTTTTTTTTGTGTGTGTGTTTGTGTGCGTCTGTCAGATTATCTGTCTGCAGCATAACAGACAGGTGGTGGACTTGATAATAGTAAATATACTTGTATATAAGTATATGTGTATAGAAAAACTTGAAATGTCCGTCTGGCATTTTGTCACAGAGTACAACTTGTACAATTGAGTGAGGACAAAATAGCAACTGAAAACTGCCCACGCATGGACTCAATTTTGCAATTTACAAGCGGAAGTTGCTGGCATGGCAAATTTTCAGAATAGAGTGGGGGGCGGGTGCTGCTCCCCTCAAGCTCAACAGGCCATAACAAAGGCACACATACATAATACCTGCTCTTACTGACTACGAAGCAATTAACTGGTATTTATTGCTGGCCAGCAAAGTTGAAAAGGCAAAAAATAGCAACAACAAGCGCTACCCTTGGCCTAACTTGACTTGGCCTAATTGATAAGCTGACTTGAGGCCATTGGCCGCCATTGGCCTCGCCTGGCCTCAGCTTTAGCTTTAGCCTCAGTAGCAGCTCCAGCCTCCTCACTTGCCAGTTGCAACGCCTTACCCTGTGTGCATGTGCAGTCAATTATTTTTATGCTGCAATGGAAGAAGCCGGCAACCTGTTGGCCAAGCGCCGACCTAAGTCTAAGCTACTCGTACATGGCCGACATGACTGACTGATTGCATTGCGCGCTTCATCATTTACTCGTTCATTCATTCAGACAATTTTTCATGTTTATTAGTTTTTCGTTTTTGTATTAAGCTGTCTGTCTGCCTATCTTGCAGTCTGTCTGTCCATTTGCGTCTATCTGCGATGCGCCAACTTAGCACGCAACTCTTCTGGGTGCGAATGCCTCCGATTGCATGCCAAGGCGCAGCTAATAGCTAACAGCTAACAGCTACTTTGCCTGGCCATGGCAGCTACTTGACTCGCCTGACTTGTCTCGGAGCAGACATGGCAATCGCCATGGCCAACAACAACTACTTGTAGTTAAAAGCCGTGTCATTTACCCGCGCAAGTGCGAGAAATTGCTGTTGAAGTTTCTGATGCTGCCTCTGCTGCTGCTGCTGCTGCAACTTTGCTGCCACAGATGATGCCAGAGGAAATTGTCTAAGTTCTGTGGTTTTTACTGCAATTATATAATATTGACATTAGTTGCATGTACCATGTCATCCCATGAGCTCAAATGACTTTTGGGTGCGGTTGGGTTACTCCAAGCTGGCCTCGGCTGACATGACTAAGCTACTTGTGCAGATGATTGGCTGTTTCTGCATCTTTGCCGTGCTCATTGTAATACAAGTAGCCTGCTGCGTTGCACTATACAACAGGTACTAAGACATTCAGAGAGAGACTTCATTTTAAGCCAAGTAATTTCACTAACTCTGCAGACAATATTTTAATAATGATTTAAATAAGAGCGAAAGAAATAGTGTATTCGGAACTAAACAAGATTCACTTATGTCGACCTATCGACTTAGAGCTATTAATATCACAAGTTTTTAGATTCATATTCGTTGTACGACCATTTTTGTACATAAATTTAATAAATGTTCTTCAGATTGTTCGAATTTCTGCTCTTTTTTCTAATGTTTTTTTCTAGCTGTATTTTAAAAAGAATTACATGAATCGTGACTAAAATTAATGGGAAGTGGCAAATTTCCTTTTCTGCGTCAAAATCCTAGTCAGCACGAGGTATCAGCCATAACCCTTTTTACTTAACTTCCTTTAACTTCCTGTAATTTTATTGCACTGCGTTATTTTCTTCATTGCCCCTAAAACAAGTTCTATACTTATAGCAACCCGTAAGTTGTGCACACCCTTTGTTGCGGAGTGTAATGTCGGCATGTGTAGGTGGCAACTTTTGCTCTCATACGAGCTCGTTCCGTAAATCTAGAATCAAAAATCAATATTGTCTTTAACATGTCACATAGGAATGTGGTTTGGCTTTTAAATTAATGGCTTGCAAATTATCAAGGCTGTGTAGAAATTAATTGCATTTGTTGTCAATTTTAATGGTATCGTCATGCAGTTTTGATTATGTTATAAATAAGCTAGAGTGATTGATGGCTATTAATTTCTGCCTATTTTGCTCATTCATGCAAATATCTGTGCAAATATCTAAACTATCAGTTGATGAACAAAATTTAAGCAATGCTCTTTCTCACTCAGTACACATGTTTTATTTATTTTTTGCAGGCTGGGTTGAAGAGAGAACAAGGAGACTGTAAAATTGACTAAACAATTGCTGTGGAGGCGACTGTTAAGTGCGCAATAAAACCAAAAAGGACACAAATTTCCGGTCAACATATCCACAAGCCCGCCGGCGTCCAACTACAGGCCAAGTTACACAACAGCTAAAACAGCAAATACTACAACAACGACGGGCACAAACTGCAAATCTAAACACATGAGCGGCAAATAGAATAAAATACGTAACGAGAAATGCGCACAAATTGAATCAGAAGGCAAGTGGAAAGGAAAGGCAAGCGTGCGGAAAGAGCAGCCAAGGGCAACACGAAGAAGGAATACAACACAACAACATATCTGCAACTAAATTAAACGGAAAATAAGAAGTACATATCCTGTCGAATAAATCATACGCGAGGGCTCGGCAATAGAGAACGCAAAGCGAAAGTGCTAGGCGTGACAAGGCGAACCGCAAGCGATTCCGCCTTGATTAATGTTACGTATACGCAACGGATGCTTGCTGCCAGTGCCCATAAGCAGCAGCAGAAACAGGAGCAGTGAAAGAAACAGCAGTCAAAGCCACAGCCAGGCCGACCGCGTCTAACGCACTGCCAGCACCTGAGATCCAGAGACTGAGGCTGCGTTTGTAGGCACAAAATCCACGTGTAATTATATAGCAATTGGCACACCTGGCCGACTCACATTACACACAAAAACACTGAGGAAATTAAGTAGGGACTAGATCACAAAATGGCTTTCATTTGGCGGCGTCGTTCCGCCTCGATTGTGAAAATTTTGGCCGTGCTGCTGGCCATTTGGTTCTGCATTGCCTTCCTGCTCTACACGGATGACACAAGGCGGCGCGCTCAGGTGGGCAGCGGTGCCAGTGGTGGAGGCGGTGATGCCATGGCGCTTAAAAGCGGCGGCGACAGCGAAGATTTGGGACAAGACCAGGACATTTTCGGAGCTGAAAATGAGTTTGGCGACAGTGGCAATGCCATAGATGGCAACCGGCGGCGAGAAGGCGCAGCTCTACCACCCACAGTGCGTAGCAGAAAGTCGCAGGTGGGAGCTGGCTATGCCCACAAAGCAGATAAGACCGTGCGACACATAGTGACGTCACGTCCGGTCGTCAAGATTCCCAAGCCAGATCAAGACGTTGTGGACAAGCCAAAGGATGATGGTAAGTTAGCAGACGAATAATTACGATTTGAATTAACGATTAAAATTTAATGGTAGCTCGTGCTCTTAATTGTAATTTATTTCAAAACGAGCTTGAGAAAGCTGTTTGTTCTTATGTTGCATGTGCCCATAGTTCCATAGAACTTAAGTGTGTTTCGCCAATTTTGGTCGATTTGTAGCAATGTGTGAACATGTTATTGAGTCCAAGTTTTTTTTGTGTAAATACCCGACACAATTCAATTCATTTTTCTCTCAGGTTAACGGTTCGCAGTGAAATCTAAGCCAGTTCACATCCTCATGAAAATTGTGCTCTCCATCCTATTCATGGAGTAGCTACTTTCCAGAGCTTGTAACCACAGCAACAACTACACCGACGAATGCAATCCGCGGTAAACTTTTCTCCTCGCAAACTGTTATCGGCACGGACAATCGATGGACCCTGTTTCCATTCCTTATCCCACTTCATTTCTACGCACTCAACGCTCCCATGCTGCATGCACGATAGTTCCCATCAATTGCTATGCACATGTACATAGCTACGAATGCGACTTCAAGATGCATTTTGGGTCACAAGCTTTGAACGGATAATAACACATATTGCTTTCCTGTTGTGCGGCAGCAGCATCAGCATCAGCAACAACATCAACAACAACAATATAGACATCGACGCAAACTTGCTGCTCTCACACTTCCTGCCGCCTGCCCGCCGCAATGTGTGCCTGCCCTGGCTTTGCGCCTTTTAAGAAAATTTCTAACAAGTTTAACAACAATGTCGAATGTTGCCAACAGCAACAAATGCAACAGCACCGCAACACTTCCAGCAACAAAAAGAACAACAACAACCGACAACAACACTGACGAACGATAGCAGCACCAAGAGCACTTAACAACTTGCAATTGTTGCCAAACAACATTTTCAATGTCAAAAGCAGACTAGACTTGCAATCAGTTCGAACAGAGACTCAAGTAGTGCGGAGAACTGAACAGAGCCCCTTTTTCCTCGGCAATAGAAAAACAAAACTTAACTCATGCCGCTGTCATGCGAAGCATTCGCATTAAGCATATTAAAAAATCTCTTAGTTTATTTTACACGGCGCATTGCAGCAGACTAATCAACGAATGACCAATATTTCGGTGGCAAGGGCAGGTTCAGAGGCAGAGGCAGAGGCAGGGGCGGAACACTTGCGTTCCCACATTGCCGATCGTTTTCTTTCATAAAATTTCAATGGATATCTTGACTGACTGAGTGGCCAACTGGCTGACACCGTTGACTGAAAGGCTGAAGACTGGTCTGTCCATGTCTTGGGTCTCATGTCTCTATAAAATAACGCGCTGCCAAAGCCAAATCAATGAAGCTGCAAGTACGCAGCGGAGGCAGTAACAGCAACATCAACTGCAACAACATCAATGTGCAGCGAAGCGTGCAGCTAGGGGAGGAAGATTGGGGGGTGCGGGTGGCATTGGGTGTAAGGCCGGCTATTCAGCAAGTGCGGGTCGTCAGCGGTAACACGCTCTGCCGACTGTTCTCTCTCTTGTTCGGCCTGCCAGCTTGTCGCAGCCGTACTTCCTGTCCGATGCGAAGATGCCCAGCCCTATCTTCAGTCCTCCCTACCTCCCTCCCTCTCTCTTTCTTTTAGTCACCGTTGCTCTCTATTGCCAGCAAAGACGCTTTCATGGGGGACAACAAGCATTTAAGATGGCATCAGAGGCCTAGCCAGCTTTGAGGCCCACATAGGGGCCTTCGCCATCGCCATCGCCATCGCCTTCACTGCTGTCGTCTGTTGCAGTGCCTCGTTCTGGGGCGTCTGCCACAGACAATGCACGTATTTGCAATTTCGCATATCATGTTTGCATCTCTCGCGCGCGCTTTGTCTTTCTGATGTTGTTGTTGTTGTTGTGGCTGTTGCTGTTGCTGCTGCTGCTGTTGTTTGGCTGCTTGTTGTGGGCTCGTTTACTTGGCATAAAGGTGGCAAAGCTACAAGCTACAACTTGTTGTTGTTGTTGCTGTTGTTGCTGTTTTGGTTGCCTATATTCGAACTGACTGTTTGCTGATCCTGTCGCTTGCCCATGGCGTCAAAATTGTGTGCGCAACTACAACGTTTACCAACACTCTTTACGCACATGACATGGTCGGGATGTGGCACTGGCATCATGAATCCAAAGTACACGTAGAGAGCATGAAGTATTGGCTATGGAGCATGGAACGTGGAACGTGGTCTTCTGGATATTGGTCACTGTCTGGGCGCATTGTTCATAGCTGGTAATTAGTGTTGTTGTACTTATTGCCTTGGCCTTGGGGCTCCTACCACCAAAAGACGTGGCCAACACGAATGCGTTTATCGCGCGCGCGCATCAGCATCTGACAGCCTAAAGGAAGGCGGCCAGCCGACCAGCCGACCAGCCGACCAGTCGGCCAGAGTGAGGCAGTCAGTCAGTCATCGTGCCTCTTGCTTATGTCTTTAATACGCTCGCTATCTTGATCTCTATTTGGCCTTTCATGTGTTCGCCCCATTGTTGCCTCTGACGCTGACGCGGTCGCGCTGCTTCTGCCGTTCTACCACCGATTCTGCCGTTGAGGTGCCTTCTCATATTTTTACAATTTAGCGGTGATAATGATTTTGTACATACAACGCGTCGTATAAATGAAAACGCCCTCGGGCAAAGGCTGCAACACACGCTCTCACCAAACCATTCCTATACACACAAACCTATTTATACCCGTACAGACCCCTTCTGAGTTGGCAGATTGATTTACGCTAGGTGGGCAACCATGTGGAGACTAGCTACAAGCCGGTAGAAATTGCAACAAAGTGTTCGCCAGGCTTATATCACTGGCATCTTCTTCTTGCATCTGCTTGAAAGGATAAATTCTGGTGTATTTATAGAAATTGATATTTATCGAAATCTATTATTCTTTCATTTTCCATTTATAAGCATAGGATAAGGGACGAGTATATATATAAACTATGTTACTAACCTTTTAACAAAACTCGTTTTCCCAAATTGAATTCAAGTATAATAAGATTAATGATGTGATGATGTTATATACTTGTAATTTTTTTATATATACTCATCCAAGATAGACATACTCGTGTACAAATAATATATCTAACACATCCTTATTCGTGTATTTGTTTATACAAACTTTTATTTAAACATCAACAACATCTAAAAGTACAAATAAAGAAAGATAATCAGAATTCCTAAATTGCAAGCAATCCATTTTTCCGATTAACCAACTATACTTCTTCGTGCTGCACTTGTGTTTACTCGCATGTTCAAAATAATGAAATTGTTCTCTTATTAAAATGCAAATGGGTAAAAGAAAATTTACATTTTGTGAGATGTCTTATGTATGCGCGTACATACGAGTATGTGCAAGCTGCCCCACTTGCCATTGGCTTATATTTTAATCAATGTAAATCCAAATGCAAATATTAATACCACAGATTTGTACTGCAAATCCCATTGTTGCACACACTTACGCGCACACATGTGGCCATTGCTTTTATCCGTGTCCATGCGAGCTTGTCTATGAGCCATGTTTCCAGCTACCGGAGCTATTCATTCATTCTGCAAATAACGCTACTTTGGCATATATTATGTTACTTTTATGTGTCAGGTGGGTGCTAGGAGGCGGGTTTGCAGACAAGCGCGCCAACATTTGTCACTGCCAGCTGCCGTTGTGTGTGTGTGTGTGTGTGTGTGTGTGTGTGTGTGTGTGTGTGTGTGTGTGTGTGTGCGTGTGGGTGGGTGTAAGAGTGTCTGTGTATATTTGTGTGTCGCACTGTCGTGCCTCAATAGGAGAAGCATAACCAAGCATTTATGGCTTCCTGTCACGCTCAGGCGTGTCCCGCGGGCACCTCTTGCTCCTGTCGTTTCCATCGCCTGTACTTTGGTGCTTTCCAGCCCCTTTTATTGTCTGCTTTCGTCAGTTTTCAGGCATGAAATGCCACAACATACAAAATATATGCCACACCGCTAAAAGCGGCATATAGAATTCTCCCGATCATTCACATTGCGTATACGCAGTGTGGCGCTCGAACGCACCCGTTTCTAATAAAACTTGAAGCCATAAATTGATTTTATTTTGTGCATCGCTGGAGGGCCCTTATAATTGGGTTTGCGGTTATTGTATGTATAGCCATCCACCTCAAACAGGTGTGGGAAGCCGCTTCACTTTATTATGCAGCCGCAAACAAACATACGGGGAGCGAGGAAAATAAAAGCCATAATAGAATATGCATAGCAATAAATAACTAAATCAATAAAATCGACTGTGCTCTTTTTGCTCATGAGGCTGTTGTTGTGACTCCCTTAGTATTTTATTGTTTTTTATCGATGCGTGCGCTCGCAGCAGGCAGACAGAAATTTCATTATAGAGCCCTGTGTTTTTTACGAGGCATCCTTATGCGGCCTGCCTTTCCACACTTCACGCGCGCCTTCACAAATGAAGTTGTAACTACAGCAGCAACGACTACAGGCGACAAATCATAAAATGTATAGCGGCTATGTTGGTCGGCCCCTATTTTAATGGGTTTTGTGCTGAAATTTATCGCACTGCTGACCTGACTGGGAAATCGAGTCCAGTGTATTGTTGCTTATAATACTATAAAGCAATGGCCGGCATATTTTTGCAAAATTTCTGGTTATTGGAATCGAAATTATTGCGTGCAATTGAAATATTTTGCATAAACAGCCCACATTTTTGTGATCGGCTTATGACCAACCATTGCATCGGTACCGTGTTACTTGTGACTGACAAATCGCATTAACGTTTAAAAAAGAAGTGAGGAGAGGGAACATATAATTTGCATGCAAATGCAAAATCAAAATCAAAATAGTAATGTCTGCGAAAGAGTTCCTTGTTGTAAATTACTTCATTGGAAACAATAGAAATCATTAAGTGTCTGATGTGGATTTTATTCTGAATTGCTCGTCAAAGTTCAATTATTACATCCTTTTCGTCTAAAAAATACTTTTGTACTTGTATATTTTTCTCAATCAGCTATGATGCTAACAAGTAATTTCGTAGTTTCCTTCTGATGCCCCTCCTGTAAGCACTTGACTTGATTGTTGAAAATGCAGAATGTGTGAAGGCGAGAATATAAATTTGTCATTACCAATTTCTTACAAGCCAGCGGCTTACATTGCTGCCATTTGGAATCATAGCTAAATACCAATATCATCATGCCTGACAGTATTATTAAAGTTTCTTTTGTTTTTAAAATGTCCTTGTAAGGTCATTTATAACCGAAGATTAAATGTAAATGAGCGATAGTTGACTAATAATTTCATAAATTTTATGTTTGATCAAAATAATTTAACGCCAACAATAAGTGTGATTTTATTTAAAACAGTGTACAAGAAATTTCATGCAGCTCATCCTAAATAATTTTGTACTGGTAGCAATATCCTTGAAGTATACAGAAAATACATTTAATATATACCACAAATGAAGTTGGCTAGACGTGACTTCTAATAGCGTCACGGACTAACTTAACACTCATTTAACAACTTGCAAAACTTTGCCCTGATTACATTGCATTAAGTTTGTAATTGTTATATATTTTAACGATAGTTTAATTATACTTTGATTATTATGCAATTAGATTTACAACTGCAACAAAATTCGATTCATAGATGCATTCGGTAAATCAGCAATGACACATATAGATAGTATGTACACACAAGGCTGTGAATTGCAGCGTAGCGAACAATTTTTCATACGATGCCTCACAAATGTAAAAGTCAAAAAGCGACGATGGCGCCTGACGCTGATGATGACAACTTTTCATGTCACATGCATTATAATTTATCTCGTCGGGCACTTGGCTAAAGCTGATGGTGTACTTTTGTCTGCCTTTTCCTGTGTACTGGTGTGGGTGTGTGGGCATGTCGTACATTTTACGCACAACAAACGATGTCAGAACCATCTTCATTTTGAAGAAGAGGCGCACGTCGACGCTTCTATGACAATTTCAGGGCAATTCAAATAAGAACTTTAACCTCGTCTTAACTTACAAAGCTGTACTCTTTATCTGCTCTCATCTTTTATACAGATAAGCCAGTGCTGGATGCGCCTGCTGGTGACATGGAAGAAATTCCCGGCGAAATGGGCAAACCAGTCAAGCTGCCAAAGGACATGCCGCCTGAAATGAAAAAGGCCGTTGAAGATGGCTGGACAAAGAACGCTTTCAATCAATACGCTTCCGACTTAATGTCTGTGCATCGTTCACTGCCCGATCCGCGCGATGCCTGGTGCAAGGATTCCGGCCGCTATCTAACCAATTTACCCAAGACAGATGTCGTCATTTGCTTCCATAACGAGGCGTGGTCGGTACTACTGCGAACAGTACATTCGGTTCTGGATCGCTCACCCGAACATTTAATTGGCAAAATCATACTGGTCGATGATTTTTCGGATATGCGTGAGTAGACTTGAGAGATAAATAGTTAGTAGAGCTAGAATACTAATTTGTGTTCCAATTGTAACAGCTCACCTGAAGAAACAATTGGAGGACTACTTCGTTAGTTATCCCAAAGTACAGATTGTGCGAGGTGCCAAGCGAGAAGGTCTGATAAGAGCGCGGCTGTTGGGCGCCCGTTATGCCAAATCGCAGGTGCTTACCTACTTGGACTCGCATTGCGAGTGCGCTGAAGGTGAGTGCAGTTGTATTAGTTGAAGTGCTCGTATGGATTTGATATTTGAGCCAAATTGCTGCATTGGCATTAACAATGGCTTGCGCTTTAGCTGGAAACTTTTTTAGCAAAGTTTTTGCTGCCAACTGCAATTGACACAAATTTCATGGCACCGCCTAAAAGTAGGCAGCCGTTTTTTCCCATTACGCTAGTTGGCTTTTCAAATGCCATTGACTTCAATTATATTTTTAAATAGGCTCCTGTATTATTCAATGATGCACAAGAAAAACGGAAATAAAAATGAAAATGAACTGCGCGTGCATTGTGTACTTTTTCCATTATATTTTATAATTGAGTAGCGCATTGTTGGGAATCGAATAAAATAAAATAAAATAAAATATCCATATGAAGGCGTAACTTTTGTGCAAACAAAACATTTTAATTGATGACCCATAAAGTGGCGCATAAACACATGTATTTTCATTGTTTAAAAACATGTGTAATTAAGCAAATTTATATTTACATATTGATTTAAATTGCTGGCCGCATTTGCTAGTGACAAGGCAAGCATTTGCTCAATTTTTGAGCTTTAGCAATTATTAAACAATAAACATAAACCATCAGTGAACAATTATAGTAAATTCCCCAATTCGAAACAACTCTTAATAAAATAGAGTAATTTAATTCGTTTTCGACGGGGCACTATTTTCCTTTTAACGAAATTCCCAAGTGCGCCACTTCTGTTCGACCATTGTTACGATGATGGCCATAAGATGAAATCCGCCGGGAAACAACAAAAATGACGCCAATAAAACAAAGCAAACTAGTAAATCACTTAATCTCGAGTTTTGCTGCGAGCCAGCGCACTTCAGAGATAGCCGACGAGCTATCCACAAAATGAATGTTGACTGGGCCAGCGCGCTGACGTGCACAGCATAAAAAGCGCAATCAATTTTGCTTATTGAGTTTTGTTCGGTCATAAAATCGATAAAAATAAGTAAAAACTATAGTGGAATTGTGCGAGTGTAAAAGAAAATGAATAGCCAAAAAAATCATGTGAGAACGTGCAATAGCATATGGGTATCAATGTGTTGGTCCAAGTGTGTATTTGGGCGGGTCCTTGTGATGAAAGAAAACAATTTCATTTTCGTTCTGGATCGTTGTCATTGATGCCGTTGATAGATGGCAGGCTGACGATGATACAAACGTCTGAGCCGTGTATTGCAAAATGCTTGGAAAAACCAATTAACCTCAACGGCATTGATTTTCTTACTCCCTCCCCCTTTTTCTCTATCTATCTTTTTCTTTTCTTTTTATGACAGGCTGGCTGGAACCATTGCTGGATCGTATAGCGCGCAATTCAACAACCGTTGTTTGTCCCGTCATCGATGTCATTGACGATGCGACCATGGAGTTCCATTTTCGAGATTCCAGCGGCGTCAATGTCGGCGGATTCGATTGGAATCTACAATTCAGCTGGCATTCCGTACCGGAGCATGAAAAGCGCAGGCATAATGTAAGTTTTTTCTATTGGCTAAGCAGCTTATTTGCCACTGACGGAATTTTCTGGCAGTACTAGCGCGTGGCTAGCCTCATGCACACCTACATATAGTACAAGCACTGACAGCTTTTGAATATCGCGAAGAGGGTTGATTTTCGTAGTATCGCACGCGTTTGTTTTAGCACATTGGTGTGTCCATATGTGCGACTGTATATTTTAAACATACTTATATAGGGCGGAGGTAGGTGCTATTCACCCTTTTTAGTCAGTTGGTCGTACACATGGCAAAACATGAAGCAGCTTAGAGCGTTTGGACGTGACCATTTGCTGTAAAGTGGTTGAACCAACAAAACAAACAAAGCTGCAGCGTATGCAGCAAAACATGCACGCACTCCATTCTCCCTCGCACAAATACAATATGTACAGAATTCTAACCGATAACATTTCTGCAAACGATGTGAAAGCGAACTAAGCATAGCAGGTTAAATGTTTGCTTTTCAAAGTTCGAATATAATAGTAAATAGCTACCTAATTGTCAGAAATGATCAGGCAATAAGGGGATGCAAATATTAGTTAAACATAATTTGTTGAATAGGGACCGCTCTTTATTTATTTAGCATGCATGATTCCTCCACTTCCTAATCTATATAAAATTATCTGCTTTTGTATTAACTTGGATCCAAATCGGTCAATTCAAAGTTTGAGGCAATGTATTTCACTGTCATGTGTTCTTGGCTCCAGCGTTCTCTCTTGTTATTGTTAGTTTTACTTTAAAAAGTCCCAAACAATTCCAAAAAGGCTCCCAAAAGTAGGCAAAATAAACGAACGATGCTTCTTTTATCACACACAACAAAGCTGAAATCATCTCACCAACTCAGACTAGGTGTGCCGAAAATCAATTACGTTAATTTATCAATTCATCAATCCGACTGTTTAGCACATTGTATACATTTTCCATGTTTGATGAAACCCCTCTGCCTCTTTTGCAAAATAAATTCAATCAAGCAGATAACAAATTACCATTTTATAAATTCTTCAAAAAGAATTAGACGAGTATTTTAAGGACTTATTTATCTATCCACATGTTAGAATGATACATTGTCGGAGCGCTCTTTTAAATTAAATGTTTAATACATTTTGTGCATCAAACAAATTTGCTACTCATTCCCATATCATTCAATCAGTCTGTTTGTAAATGCCTTTAGATTCAGATCGTTCTGTTTTATATAATTTACGTTTGCGAATGGCGTTACATTTTTTCCTCTGTGATATTTTAGCGGGTGCACGGTGAAGGTGTGGCAACAAAGGACAAGCTGGGATAAGGGCAACATTTGTCGACAGCATTAAATTTCGTTTCAAATTTTAATTAAAAGCCGGGCAGATGCCACACAGTTGTTATCTGTGTGTCAGCACACACACACATACTTGTACACATGCAACGAATTCTTAATTATACAATTCGCTCAAAGCGCATAAATTTATGCCTTGCAATATTACACATACGTCCCGTCAACCCCACCAACCGAACATAATGTGCGCAAATTACATAGCGAACATTTTAAAAACTGTGATGACAGCAAACAGAAGGGTGTGAGGGACTTACAGGTTGGAGAACTAGGAGGGCGAGAAATGTGGGGAAAGTATTGCATAAGCGCGCAGCCAGCCTGCAGTGCAAGTAAGTGGCAATTAAAAGCCAAAAATGTTAACAGCAAATTTCGCTTGTTCCCGACGCTGTTGCTGCTGTCTTTCATCGTCTTTTTGCAGCACACTGCTGTTACAGTTGTTGTAGCTGCTACTGCTGCCTTTTGCGGCGTAAATATCAGAGATAATTGTTTTTACAAGCGTTAAGGGATTTATGAACATTGTTGCCAAAAACCATTTCCAGCCACTGAGGCACGCGACAGAGACAAACGCGCATTGTTGTTGATGTTGCACTTCCTCTTGCCCTTGCGGTTGCAACAACTGCAAGACTTGTGTGTGCTTGTGTGTTTGTGTTCGTAAGCCTATGCGTGTGCAGCGCTTCGAGCTACACTTAACAACTAAATCAAGTAAAAGCGCTTCCTTCGCCACGCTCAATGCACACGGCATTGGCAATTTGCCCGGAGACAAAATGAGCCATAAATGTTGCTCTTGTTGTTGGCACATGTGTGCCACACTTTATGCTTTTCGTATAACATGCTACGCACAGCTGCATCCAAACAATGGATAAACGGGAAGGGAGAAAAATGGGCAGAGTCTACATTACTTTAATGAAATTGTCGTATATTGTCAAAATTTTTGACAATCTTTGACTACAGTACGGTAAATTATTAAATAAATATGCGACTGACAATCGAAATTTGCCAGAGAACAATTTTGAAAAATTCCTTATTTATAAATGGAAAATAATCTAAGCTTTGGCAGCTATGCAGGCATAAAGAACAAACTTTCAACTGTTGACAGCCGAAAATCCTATAACTTTTCACTCCTGCGCACTCGTTATGCGCCTGTCTGCCAAAAGTTGCTTAACTTGTTACAACATACGAGGGGCAGCAACAGCGCACATAAAGCTCTGGGCATAACAATAACAATGATCAACATTGCATAGGGAATCAAAAAATATATAAACAAGCACACACTCTTCCACACGCATGTACATATACATATGTGTACTATATACGAGTAGAAGTGGGTGTTCATGTGTGTATGTATTTGTGTGTATTTTATATAAGCCTTGTACAAACTTGCGGCACAACTTTTGCTTGTGTTTGCATTTGTCAAGTTCTTGCGTGTGGGCGGGCTCAGACTTCAAGACTCACTCTACAAGTATACTAGTATGCGAGTATACTCTTATAGTAAGTCTGTGTGCGTGTGCGCTTTAAAATGTATATATTCAAGTGTACTATATAGTATCTTGAAGTTCATTGAAGCGAAGTGGCAAGCTCTGTCCAGTTAGACGGCCTGATTACATATAAGCTCACGGCAACGCTGGCTAATGGATGTGGCATTAACTTAATGCTTAGCAACTGCCCTGCGCCTGTTTGTCCATCGCATGTCCAAAAATTGACTTGACAACCCAGTCAAGCATCTGTGCCCCGACAGTTTTTAGATAGAGGAAACATTTTTGGAACGGTTGGAGCTGCCTGCAAATAGCCATAGAGTGGGTTGCGTAATGTTCTGCTTCAGCTATTTTATTTATTTACATGGACGTGTCTGTTCTCATTGCCAAATACTCACTTGCTGGGCTTGAAGAGGGTCAATAAGCTGCTTGAGCCCAGGCAGGTGGGGTTGCGTGTGGGTTGGTGGACTAAGTAGAATATTGCGAAATTTTAATCAGCTTCGAACAATCCATACAAAATTGCTGTCTTTTGTGAATTGATTTCCTTCTGCTTCTAACAGAATTCTATTCAGTAATTACTGAGTTCAAGCGCTGCTTTTCGCGCACAAAATTGTAATTTTCTCTAAATATAAAGAAGCAATATATAATAAAAACAAACTTAAGTTAAATTACTAAATAAAGTGAAAATTAAATTCCCGCTAGCAGCTTACAACTTTTTCGCATTTGCTGCTCGTCCTTCTTACCTTTTTCTTGTTGGCAAGTGGCTTTTTCTATTTCTTTTATGTCAACAGTATTTTGATTTGCTCTCCAGTTACCTTGTTTGTTGACCCTCGCATGATATTTTTACCATTTAGCTTTAGACTCGAATTTCTGATTGGCCCGAGCATACTTCGGAGCGCAAACGTAAGGCACTTGACAGCAAATTACCGGGGAAATTGCAGGCAATAAGAATTTAAATATTTAAAGCAACAAGAAACCTGATACCCATCCGGCAAAGGATACCAAAGGCTGGCCCTGCGGCTATCGCAAACTAACATACATAAAAATGTATTCGCTGCCAAAGAGGCACGAACGGAGGGAGCGATGCTGCTCTTGCCTTTGGCGGCTAACTAGAAATAATGAAAATAGAATACCAGCCACTAATCCGCTCAATGTGCTTCGAGCTCCGTGCACATTGCTATATAATCCGACAGCATTACAGCCACCGCCCGATCCGCCCACTACGTGTGGAGGCAGCAAAAATCTCAAATAACCCAAAGCGCATAAAATAAAACTACAACAATTTCATAAAAATCCCGGATACGTGATACACAGAAATACTTAGGAACTACACACACCGTACCAAGCACACATACACAAACACACATACATAAGAAAGCGGGGCCATAAAAGCACTAATCCAATTATTTGAAAACTTAGGTGTATCCGGGGCGTATGCGCAATGCATGAGCTATGAAAACGCACTCATACGCACCGTTTGCCATGGCGTTTAAATATACATATATGTATATACGTGGATATATGTTCCATATACCGGTACATATATACATACATATGTACAAGTATATGACAAAAATCGGCCTAGCTCAAGTGCAAACAAATACACGCACGCTGGCAAAGCCACACAACCACACATACGCAAGCATGAATTGGCATAAAGAAAAGTGCTGTTGATGCTGCTGCTGCTGCGGCTGCCACTGTTACCGCTGTTGTGGCATAAAAAAGGTAAAGTTTACCCATGAAAATCGTTTGGTTTTGTCGTCCTCCTCCAGTGTACCTTCGCCAATCTATCTACCTATGTACATGTGTATATATGTATGTATGTAAGACTTAACAGCGCAGCATTTGCGTTCAAATGGGCAAGAGGAAACGTAAATGGTTTCTAATGTGTACAAACTTACAAACAGCCAACCAACAACGACACACTAAATGTATGTGTATTTTAGACACTTTTACATTCATGCACACATCTATCTTCTTAGTATATATACACGCACACACACACACACACACACACACTCGTGCATATGTACTTGCCACATGGGACTGCACGTTTCATTTCATTTCGTTCACTTCACGTTTATTCCTTTCTGATTGCGTATGCGTGCGTTTTGAGGGCTTTTCTGCTTTAGAAACCATCGTTAGCTGTGTTGTTGTTGTCATTGTTGTATAGGTCTATGTTGTTGTGAAATCGTGCATAATGGTGAGCGTGTGAGTAACACGCTGCGTATGCGAAATATTTTGCGTTCAGCCTCAATGACAAATGCTCGTCACTTTGTCAATCAATCCTGCATTGTCTCTGTGCCTGAACGTGTGTGTTTATGTTCGAGTGTCGGCATTTGAAATGTGCACCCTTGTGCCAATCGAAGTCGAAGCCATGTGCGTTTAATGATAATCCGCTTAATCCCCTTAATGTCAAACTCATTTCAGCTTTTGCAAGCAACTTTTCCGAATTTCTGACCATAAACTCTTCGATTTGACTAACTACATACTTGTATATATTCATGTTATCTTCATAATTATTCAATAATCGGAATTAACCAATATGTGTACATGTCCAATGACGTATCTACATGTTGATATAGTTCAAAAAAATTTGTGGAACGTTGTGAATTGTGGGTTTGTTATTATAAGAAAGAAAGATTTCATTTAAAATGAAAAAAAATCCATTGAAATTGGTGTTGGTTGCATTTGAAACATTTAAGTATCGTCTTCTGACTTAATTAAATAAGTACTTGCCAGCTCATTATCAACAATTACTCTATTGCGCACAATTAGAAATGCCAAAACACATTACAAATGTGTTTTTGTCTAATAAAAAATATCCCCTGTCTATCAAAAGAACATTGAAGGGTACTTGGAATTTAATCTGGAAGACTTGATTGATGACAAAAATATAAGGAAACTTCAGGTAGCTATAACATTCTATATTTTGAATAGCATTTAACGATTCGTAAAAAGCATGTATTTAGTTTAATAAATGAAGTCACTTATTTATTATTTTCGCATGCATTGAAAACACTTGTTTGCTCTTAAGTTTTGCTTTCCAATCTAGTTAACTAGGCGATATTTGACAGCACGCAGAATAGGATACTTATCGTTGGTGCAGAGTCCCCTAAAGTCGTCATACGATAAATCGAATAGAGCCACACCACCCAAGTTGTTAGTGCGCACGTAACCAGCCTTGTCGGCGGCTGTGTCCGGATCCTCGTAGCTCACCCAGATGCCATTCTCACCCTTCTTGTCGGCAGCACGATATGCGTAGGAGCCGAAACGCTTGGCGGGATCTGCCACCTTAGTAAGCGGGGCATTGGCCCCCTTAGAGTAGGCATTGTTCTGGTTGGGCAATAGGGCACAAACCTCGGGCCAACTGTAAAGGCCATGCAGTTGAGTGTTGCCACCAACCGGTGCCTCATCAACTACCTTTGAGATGGGCGGCACACCCGTATTACCCGAATCCTCAGTCAGTTTCCAAGGGCGTCCATAAGTAGTCACGCCCACATTGATCTTGCTGGCCGGGCAACTGTTTCGTAGCCAATACCTAACCTGATAATCAACATTGAACTCGGGATTGCGCTCGCTCAGTTCGTAAATTGGAGCCGAGTAATCAGCCAATTCGGGATTGCGCTCAGGTGTGTAGAAGTCGAAGGCCGCCAGATTCACAAAATCCAAATAATTTATCACAGCGGGCACATCGTAGAAAACTGTAAGGTAATGAATACATCGTTGGAATTACTTTGGAGTTCAATAAATCCCCTATTCACCTAAACTTACGCGATGAGTTGACATTGGGGAGAACAGTGGTTGATAGCAGCAAGTTATCCGGACGGAAAGCATTCTTTACATCTCGCAGCAATGCCGTGAACTGTTCCTTGTGCTCCTCGGAGCGCTCATCCACAATGGAGTCACCAGTGAAAACCTTCTTGAAACCCTTCCAAAAGCTACCCAGGCCACTGTGCACCTTCTTCGGCTTGTTCTTTGGGAACTGCCACGCCACATCGAGGCCATCGAAGCCATAGGTCTTGACCAATGAGTACACAGTGTTTACAAAACGTGTGCGCCCGACTGGATTCTCCAGCAATTCGAGATACTTGTTGGGCAAATCTTTAGCATCATCGCCAGTCTCGATATCCTTGTCACCACCGACACTGAGCAGGACGCGCAATTTAGGATACTTGCGCTTTAGACGTGTCACAGTCCGATAGAGGCCCTTGCCCAAATCCAAGTCCAGCTGCTGATTCAGACTCACTGCCTTGTGAGAGTCGCGTTCGATGCCCGCGTACCCGTACACTAAGTAGTCACAGAATTGCAGTGCCGGCTCTAGTTCATCAATCACCACCTTGCCAAGGCCTGTAAGTATTGGAGAGAGAGAACGACATTCGTATTTTTATTGAAGCTACTTGTACAGTGCTTTATCGTTAAACTAAATATCTAAATAATTACACTCTATTGCTCGCTATTCAAGATTTTTTTATTCAAAATCATAATGTTTTTCTATTACTGCTTCATAAAATAATGTTGCATTGAGAAGGCAACCCGACTAATATTTCTCGGTTTTTGATTGTTCGGATTATCGGGATTACACTGTGTCGTCAAGCTGTAGCTCGAAGCGAGACAAGCTATCGCATTTCAATAACAAAGCAAACTCGTATGTTTGTATTTAGATTGCCTATTTTCAGAAAAAGGCTGATAAGAATAAACATGGAAAGCACAAGTCAGGTTTCCAAATACTTTTTCAATATTTTTCAAAGCGCCTTCTACGAAAATAGACGGCCACTGCACTCTAATGTTTTTCCTTCTTACTGTTTTACTTTTTCTCAAGTAATTAATGTGAGAAATGAGAGTCATTCCTATTTAACTACAAGTAAAACTCATTTCTTCACATTGTTACATTACCTGTGAACTTGTTTCTTCGCCTTTACAATGCAATTAAAGATAATTGATTTTCTTAATATTTTGTACAATTTGTAAAACTCTATTTACTTAGCAGCTGGCACTACTTATGTAGGCACTTACTTCCCTCTTAAGCATTACGTAAGCATCTTCACTTTAACACACAAACACACACACAGACACACACTCCTCTCCACTTCATTACGTACACGTACTCTTATTCGTGTACTAGTTGGACTCACCTTCCTTGATAAAACTCGCCGAGTCATAGTAGCAGACCAAGTGTTTTTGTAGACCTGGCGGCTGCTGCTGTCCAATCTTGCTCGACAGAGCGGCGCCTAAGCAAAGTGCAAAGATGACCAAAAGTTTCATCTTCTTAGCTCTTAGTTGGCGATTCGTTGAGTTGTGCACCGCTTGGCTGCCAACTTGAAACTGAAACTGAAACTTGCTCGGTGGCGATCGTTGCTCGGGCTGGGCTTCAAGCGAAGGTTGTCCGAGATGAAGACGATGTTTTTGTTGTTATAGTTCTTTACGGTTCTGTTGTTGTTTTGAGCTGTGTGCTGGTGCTGGTTGTTGTTGTTGTTGTTGCTTTGCCTTGCCTACTTAGCAAACTGAGCGCGCGCTGATAAACAAATTGAGCAGCAGCAGCAATTTCTATAAAGATGACTTTTGACACATACAGTGGACCCACGAAAAATGGTGCTCATTAGAGCTCTGGATAGCGACAAATCTGATTTCGTTTTGGTTTTACTTCTATTTATTTTACTGTAGTTCGCACTTTAGCTGCAAAATTTCATTGAGGATTTGTTAGAGAGAACAACAATAATTTGAAAAGTAAAAATAAATATAATTGTACTATACAATTCATTTGATGGAATGCCTTTGTCTACTGCTTACGTTTTCTTCTTAAATTTTAATTTTGAAATGAATTATATTATTTTTTGGTTAGTGGACTTAAACAGTTTTACAAAAGAATATTAACCTGTTTTATTTTTATTTATTTGTCAAATGCTATTAAGATTTTAATATGTTTGTTTGTTATTTGCGCTTGAATATTTAAATCTACACATACATTATAATCACTGCCTAGGCCAACTCTATTGATATTAAATACATAATTCCATTTAGTTACGCCTTATCTATCTAATCTTCTTCCTCTCTTCTTCACATTCGTTCTCCCTCACCCAATCCCTTGCGGGCCAGCCATCATCATTCAGCAACAACGCGCTCCAATTCCATTTATTTACTTTTAGTTACCCTTTGTGACCCTCCCACATCACTTCTGCCGAGCATGCGAGCTACTCAGAAATTCATAGGCGTGCGTTTCGGTTCTCTATCGGCAACAAAAGCTAAAGTACGAGTATTTGTTTTAACGACAAATTCATTTGCCATGAAACAAATACACGCATTCCGTCTTATATGTATATACGTACATAGATGGATCAACAAGAATTCCGTGCCTGCCTCCTAAAACTTGTCATCCCATTCAAACTGTCGCACGCTTCATCAGACACATGTGAGTTCAAAACAGAATCGGCCACTATCTGCATCAGTTCGTGTCGATTTTACATTTTTGACTCGACATATTTGCATAAAAATGTTTGTCGCTTTTATATGTGACAACAAAAATGCGATTCTATGCGTTATATTTGCCTTGCTGATTGTTGTTTGCTTTTATTTCTATCGGTACTAAAAAAAAGAAAGCAAAACAGGAGCAAAACCAATTTCAGTAAAATTTGCATTTTAAATATTTGTGTACGGTTTGCGTTGCGTTGCGTTTTTATGTTTTTATTTTTTTCTGACTCTAAATGTTCCATACCAGTGCATATATTCTGACTCTATTGTTGTTGGCAGTCGATAACAAACCGCTAGCCAAAACAGCAATTATCGCCCGGGGCGTTGCTAAATGAATGCGGCATACAAATTCGATCGTGAAATTAAAGCGAATTTATAAGAGACCATGTAGATGTGTCTGTACGGATATGTGTGGGCCACCAATTGACATTAGTCATGGCTGTTAATTTGCATAAGTTTAATGTGCTATGTATTTTGGAAATGCAATTTAACTGTGAAAGCTCACGTAGAGAGCAAAGAGCTTAAGCCAACCCACAATTGCCGCAATTACCCACACATAACTTATATATTACATATATATACTCGTATATACGCTTGTTTATATGAATTGATGTTATCCTTTATTATTTTTTCTTTTGTGGGCTTCAAAAACTTTATTACGAAGTCAATCACATGCACGAGCGGTTGCACGCCCATGAATACATAAGCCCACATACATATATACATTGCCCAAAAAGTGGTTCATAACGAATTTGCCCTTTTTTGTGTGCCTGAAATTGAATTTAGTTTAGAACGCGCTCTTTGTCAAAAGGATACCCCAAAAAAAGCGACACAAGCATTCAAGAAATGCAAACAAAGTAAGCAGATTTGAAAGAAGCATGGGAAGGCATCGAAAAGAAAAAAGAGGCGAAATAGGTAAGGGAAGTAGCGCACGCTCTAACCCTTTAACGGACTCGTTAGGCTTCCTCTCCTTTCTTTTTTCAATTAAGTTGCTCAGCCAACCCGGTTTTTTTTATTTTTTTAATTATTGACAACTAACTTTGTTGAAATGGTTGTGTGCAGTCCTTGCTCCTGGCTCATTGGACTCGGCTTAAAGTTAAAAGTTGGAATTCGCACGGAAAGCTTTCATGGCTGGCAGCATTTTGTAAATTCATTTTCGGTGAGCTCGCCATACTATAATATTGCTTACACATTTTCATGTTATTATGTTCAGTTTAACTTTTAATTGAAACGTTGTAACAAGTTGGCAAAAGAGCCGCGGGCCCAATGAGGCAAGCTGTATTTATGTTTATAAATGAGTGAGTGAGGAAGCCTGTTCATAATGAAAAATGAGCGTATGGAAAACCGGGCACGTGCGTTGCTGCTTAATTAAACAAGTAACATCATCATCATATTCAGCATATTTCATCGTCAGCCCTAAAGTATGCTACATACTATATATGCTACTTATAAAAGGCATGCAGCTTAATTGCACGCGCAGCGTGTTGCCTACTTTTAAGCGCATGCTATTAATATCACAAATTATTATTATGAAATGGTCGCCATTTTTAATGCGCTTAAAGCATGGCCAGGATTTAGCCGCCTGTCCACCGCAAACTGTGTCCCTGTTGCTCTTTTCATATTCATGGCATCGGAACGGACGCACAGCTAGACTATCGCATTAAGTCTTGAACCATGCCGGCATACAATGCCCGGCAAAGTGGATGGTCACACCAACAATGTCTGCCTCGATGGTCAGGCACATGCCTGCTGCTTGTCCTTGCAGGCCTTGCTGGTCAAAATAGGCAGCCAAAAAAGGCAACAGTGTAAAACTGTAGGTACAGTAGTAGAAAAGTCCATATGTCGAAACATCACGACCTAGTCGGGTTTTAAAACTCTATTAAGTGCATAAACGACAATTCATTTATATCGTTTTTGCATTATTACCATTACCAAAAATATATATCTATCTTTCTTTTAATTAGTAGAAAGAAGTTCACATTTTAAATACATATTTTAGAATCATTATTCTATCATCTAAAATTTCCCTGACCAATCATAAAAATCTTATATTTCCTCGTTCTTTAAGCATAAAACGTTATTAAATTGAAAGCTTCCAGATTTTGTAGAGAAGTTCGACAGCATGTTCCATAGATTGAAAATCTCTGCGCGCAAGTGTATTAATTTGCACCCAATCCAAGTGACTCTGTGAACATAAGAGCCGTTTCCCACGCCATCCTAAATTTTGCCCGCTTCTGTTAGACTTTGGTCGTCTGTGTTTGGTCTGGCCTGCTCAGATCTGGTGTGGTCTGGTCTGTGATGTGGTCAGAGCGTGTTTGCCACTCGTCTGCCACTGGCGCTCGCCACCCGAAAGTGATTTGCGAGCTGCTCTTTTTTCTTTTTTCTTCGTATCGCTGTGCTCGCAACAACATATGCAAATCACTCACTCAGGCGTTCAATGGTGGCGACCCTCATGCATGTATGTATGTATGGAAGTGGGTGTTAGTCGCTTTTCCTCTTCCTGGGGTATCTGTATATGAAAGTCAGCTTACGTTGCGCATGATTTATTAAAAAGCCCCTCGTAAAAATGCACACTCAAAAAACAGAACAGAAAATAGCAGAGCATGCAGAATGAAGAAAGTAAATATGTATATACTACAAGTATATGCATACATATATAGCGAAAGCAGCCTGAAAAAATGCACGAAAAATAGCTATGAAAATAAGCAGCGTACCGGCAGTAGCAACAGCTAAAAATAGATATGAAAATTTTAAAGCTACATGCATATATGCCAACTAACCACCACCTCAGCTTTAGAGTTGGTTGCTCCCGCATGATGAGCGCTGTGGGCGCCACTCCAGGCTCGTCCCCTATACTATATATTGGGAGTAGGAATTGCAAGTTTTCTGGTTGGGACTAGAACTGGCGTTGAGGCTGGCGCTGACACTTTTCAAACTCATCCATCAACTGCCAACGCTTGCTCATTTTTAAGCAATTTACACAACCGATATTTTGTGTATAGCAGATAGCATTACGTAGTCATCCTGTGGACCCTTGGCGAAGCCATGACGTGCAGCAACAAATTCCGATGCATACCAGAACAACGCCAGCGGGGACGTAGAAGCCGGCATCAGCGTCAGTGCCGACGGAAGTTAAGTTATGCGCCGAGCTGTGTGGCATAACATCATTATCATCATTATCGGGAGCGAACCAACTACAAACCACACATATGCACACATCAACATACAGACTGCTACGGGTATATGGTTTTGCTGCTGCCGGCCGCTATGTTTTGCTTCATGTCTGCAGGCCACCATTATTAATTAGCTTACATTGAATTTTTCATAGCAGTCATAGGGGTTTCCATGATTTGACGTCCCGCCGGATGTTTTGGTCGGTTGCAGTTCAGCTGCCAGCTGGCAAATGTGGTATATAATTTTGTGAGCTTGTTATAGTTCTAAACAAATTTTCGTGTGCAATAACATTCCAGAAGCATTTGAAAATTCAGCTTAAACGAGTTGTTTGGCACTCGGGCTGAAAATATCGTTTAGACATAGTTCTATATAGTGCTGTTTATGCAGAGGCATAAACAAATTGCCCAGAGGTAGCAAAATATATTTATACACCAAAGGCAAATCAGTCTTTCTCCTGAGGATAAGCTACTACTAACTACTAGCAACCATTTACAATTCATAAAGCATTTAAAGTAACTTAAAATGTAAGTCTTGCTAATGAAGCTGCTCATGCAGCAAGCACACTTCAATAATAAAAGCAATACAGGTCTATTTTGCAGATGTTCTTGCTGTTCTTCAAATTTGTCTTCCTTAAAAGCTATAATCTCTTAATTGAATTTGTTTCAGTTATTTTGTAGAATCG